CAAGTTATTCCTTGTTGCCAGAGTTAATAAAAAAAGACTCAAGCTTTATTTTTTTTCTTACATTGTTATTACAAATTTGGTCTTCAAATATCAGTCTATACCAAATGACACACAGCGACTCCATAAAAAAAATATATTGATGCTTCACAAGCAGATTTCAGCAACACAGACCTTAGCTTGAATCCCCTAACATAGTTCAATCAGTTAATAAAAGGGATGAGATGTGACCTCAAGCTATAATTAACATATCTCAACCATACCTTGTTGCTTTTGAAAGGCCATCATAAAGGGACAATTCTTTCATAAAGTAATTTACTAGTCTCAAGCAATTTAGCATAAAGTTGAATACATTAGAAGCCCTTTTGTTCCAAACTCTCCATTAAATTTTCACTCTAAATTCAATTATCTGGATTTTTTAATATCAAATTTGATGTACTGGTATCATCCCATTTACTAATAACAAATAACCTACCATTCAGCACACCTTAACTCAGTAACTCTACTTTAACACACACCTAGCTTTCCCTCTTTCTGCACAAGGAGTATAAAAAGTAGTCTGTACTAGTCAATAATTTAACACACAAACAAATCAAGCACCTAAGTTGCATTGGCCCTACAATAGTATTATGCCCATATACAAGTAGCTTCCTTGGAAATATTAAAAATGCATATGTTTAATCAAATTCAAATCAAATTTAAACAATCAAAACACTTGTACATGACTGCACGAATTTAACTTCATCACTACTTAAAGTTCATGATTAAGTTCAAAATGTGGTCATAATAACTTGACTTTTCACTTTTATATGATTAAGTTCATATGCGGAGTATTTTGTATAAACTGATTGAAACCCAAATCCAAAATCTTTCCAAAAAGAAAAAACCACCACAATTAATTGTATCATCAACTAATTGCAATTATATATATACCCACTCCTTAACAAATGCATAATCACCGCAAGCAACAACCAGAAGTTAGATAATTTTTAGTAATTCAATCAATCATAAAGCTAACCCAGAAACATAACAAAAAAAAAAACCGACAGAATTAAGACAACCCAGAAGATATTTACATCTAAAAATCAGATCCAACAGCAAATCAACCAGTTAAAAAGATTAAATTCACTTGGGAGATAAAAGGGGGCAATGGTAACTTACAAACGAAATTCAGAAAACAACGACAACTTTGCCGGCATCAAAACCAACTAGCCAATCATAAAAGCAAAGGAAGCAGTGTGAGTAGAGAGCAAAGCAACTACTTAATTACAAAACAGATATTTTATACTCTTAATTAACTCTGACCTGAGTAGAAAGAAAGGAGGTGAGTAACCGATTGATGGATACGATGATTTTAAGGTGATGAGTGTGTTGTATAATGAGATCAACAACTGAAAAGTGGAGTAACTGCTGATTCATAATTAAAAAATTTTGGAGCCAAAAAAAATTCACCATTTCGCGGGTTTGGAGAAGAAACTGGGGTTGAGGAGTTGACGAGTTTCGTTGTTGAGGATGATGGGTTTTATTTTTAACTTTATTTTTTTTGGGAAATAAATGTGGAGTATTTTTTTGGGAAATAAAAGTGGAGTATCATAATCTCTAATAATGAGAAGATACCGACTCTAGCTGGTTCTTCACTTTTTTTTTTTTTTTTTAAATTATTTTTAAAGTTTGGTTGAAAGATGGTTCTTCACTTCTTTGTAGATTACTTTGGAATAAACTAGGGGATCTTACTTGGGTGGGATTAAAAAATATCTTAATGAAACAAAGTTGTAATGTGATATAACAAATAAATTAAAATGGCTAAAAGTTAGTTGCAACTTGCTAGTTTGTGGATGGTAATCTATTATTGGGATAAAAATAAATTTAAAATAAAAATCAAACTATTTTTCTTTTAGGAAAAAATATAAATAAAATAAAAATTGGATGTACAATAAATATTGTATATTTGTATTAATATTTCCCTAAAGTGATTATTAGTTAGTCTGCTATGAACAAATATTACCCCCCCCCAATATAAATAAAATGTTGTCTATGTTCTAATGATAAATTTACTCTCTATAAACCGATAAAAATTAAAGGTTTGTCAGTAAAAGTAACTATAATATCCTTATAAAACTTATTTCAATGGCAATTTACATTAAAATCTTATCGGCTTCAAAGTTACCCAAGAAATTAAAAGTTATCCAAAATTGCAAAAAAGTTACCGTACTGAACTATTTCAAGTTTCTCTAAAGCATATTTAATTTTATCTAAGCTTACGTGAGCTTATTTTTTTGTAAAATAAGGGGAATAAAATTGAACACAATAAAGTCTTGTTTGTAATAATTTTTGACGAAGTTTTATACAAATGTAATATTGAATCGAAATCAGCAAAACTGTAATCAAGAAGACCCAAAATCAACTGATATGAAATAGGCTCACCCAAACCCGTGTTGAACCTAATACTCCAATTTGAGCATTATTAACCAATACGAAGTTAATGGCTTTGCTCAAACTTGACATGAACCCGATAGTTATTGGCCCGACTAAAAAATGATCTGACCCAAATCGGGTGGTTTAAAAGGGTAACCTTGACCATTATGACAATCTATTTTTAATTATACAAATGTGAATAAGTTATTATATAGAATAAAAAGAATCATATAGTGAGTTTTACCATTAAGTTTTATACACATGTGAAAGTCAAATTGTTTATTATGTTAATAAGTTTTATAAAAATGTAAAAGTCTAGTTTGACAATCATAAACTTAACCCGACGCAACATCGACCTATACAGATATCAGATGAAATCCAAACTATTTTGAGCCGATTTGATGTTAGCCCATCTTGTTTTCGAACATAACAAGTTGAATTGACACAACTAATCTAATCCAAACGGATCAAGTGGATTAAAATGGTAACTTTGACTCATTATGATCCAATCACTACATGGTCAACCCGTAATTGAATTGATACGATATAACCAGTTGACACTAATCATGTTCTTATATAATCGACACAGTGAAACTTGACACATATGTATTACTTTGACTTTAGATAAATATGATTTTATATTGGTAAAAAATATTAACAAGTTGAGATTATAAAACTTTATTACCACGGAGTAATACCTATTTAAGAATATATTTCAAGATAAAATTTTATTTTTATACGTTACTAAAAACGATGGTCAAAATTAGCATATAAATAGTGAAAAAAGTCAAAGATGTCATCTTTACTCAATAGTTCTTGACTCGAAATTGACAAGACCTGATCTAACCCAGTATGAATGAGGTGGATCAAAACGGTAACCACAACAAAGGCTATGGTTCTATCCCGCCTTGAGAGGAATTTGGCTCGTTATGACTCGATCCGTCAAGGGTAAGCCCGTAATTGATACAATATTTAAAGTTGACAACTCTACCTATAACTAATAGTCAATTACTCATTCATTATTACACACTTATTCATCTAACCATCACTAATCATACTTTATTTAAGAAAATACACTCCATAGTTAACATACAGAGTATAATTTTTTTTTGACACAACATAGATTATAATTGATAATAACATATAAAGTTTAAGCTTATGATTATCTCTTTCAATAAATCTAATCATGATTTAATAAATGTATGTTCCCCTCACAAAATATTTCATACTATATTATTATTAGTAATTTTTTTTGACATTATTATTATTATTATTAAAGATTGGCTTGAAGGTAATGCTTAGTAGGAAATTTTTGGATTTAGCATCTCTTGATTTAATACTTAGTAAAATATAGCAGTGTTCTTGTATTAAAAGGAAAAAGAAAATTTCATTAAAAAAAAAAAAAGACAAAACAAAACAAACCCAATTAATTCGAGTAGGTGGCAGGCACACAAAATCAAACAAACCAACCCATAACAAACTACTTCCCACAAAATCAAATAATCAATCACCGTTCTAAATTTTCATTAAAAAAAAAAATTGTTAACCATATTTCCCAAAAAATCGAACAAACCCCAATTACGAAACCAAAAGATTGTCTCTGTTCTAAAATTCGATTTTGATTACTGTATTCTGGTATCAAATTGCAATTTATTGGAGTATATTCTAGATAGTATAGATTGCTTTGTATCATCTTGCCTGGAGTAGATTAAAGATAGCAGCTTGTAGATTGAGGAAGAAACAAAGACAAGTAAGTTTTTGGCAACTCGACTCAACTAGCTATTTTAATTTCATAGTATGTCAGGCTATAATGTGATGTATGGATAATATAATTCTTCATTCTATTATTCATTAGTTGCTTGTTGCAATTCTCTTTGGCTGTATCAGATGTAGAATAGAATCTGATGTTTAATGACTATAATCTGATATATGTATATATGTGGGATTGTTAGGTGCTTGTTACCATTCTCTTTGGCTGTATCTCTTTTAGGGTGTGACACAATTGTCGTATTGTGAGATTTGTGACCTTTAATATCTAATTTTTAAAGTTAATACTTTTTCTTTTTTCACCAGTAACCCTTGCTTTGTCCCCAATACTATATGAATTGCTGTTGTTTGAAAAATTGTATATGCATTTTTATTGCAGAAAGTTTGTCTTCTTATTTTGTTTTAGCCAGTCCTATAATTCATGTCAATATTTTTCTCTTAGTTTATTACCTTTGTTGTGTTGATCCTCCATATAACTTCTTATGCTATAGAGTATTACAATGGCAAACATCAACAAAGATTGGATTGATGCACCCCACAGTGCCGAAGAATATATCAAAGGAGTTGAGAATTTTCTAGATTTTGCATTTCTAAATTCAACCATGGACACAGAGGAAGATGATGAACTGGAAATTTAATGCCCATGTATGAAGTGTGTTAATAGATTCTGGTTCCCAAGGGAGGAGGTTTTCAATCACCTAATTGCTAACAGATTTAATAAGAGGTATAAAGTGTGGAACTTTCATGGCGAAGGATTGACAACATGGTCTTCTTCAAGGGGAGATGGGCATCAATGTGATAATCAACACACATTAGACAATATGGATGAGATGATTAATGATATTTTCAGAGAGGTTATAGGAGGTTCAAGCTCCGAAGCAGAAGAACTTCGAAATGGTCCTGATGAGAGTGCTAAAAAGTTTTATAAATTGTTAGAGGATGCACGAGAAGAATTATATCCAGGCTGTAAGGATTTTTCTGTGCTTTCATACACAGTGCGACTCTATCTACTTAAATGCCTTAACGGGTGGAGCAATTCTTCTTTCGATGGGTTGATGAAGCTTCAATGTGTTGCCTTTCCATTTGCAAAGCTTCCCACTTCTTTTCATCATGTTAAAAAAATGGTGAAGAACCTTGGACTTAATTACAAACGAATTGATGTGTATCCTAATGATTGTATGTTGTATTGGAAAGAACGTGCAAATGACAAGTCTTGCCATGTTTGTAAAGCTTCTAGGTGGAAGTTAAATGAGAAGCAAAAAGAGGAAGATGCATTGCCTGACGAAGGAGTTCCTGCAAAAGTTCTGCGTTACTTTCCTCTTAAACCTCGTCTACAAAGGTTGTTCATGTGCTCTAAGACGGCTGAACTCATGACATGGCATGAAACTGATCGCAAGAAAGATGACAAATTAAGGCATCCTGCTGATGGACAAGCTTGGAAAGATTTCGATGTTGCACATCCTCAATTTGCAAGTGATTTTCGAAATGTAAGGCTGGGTCTTACCACTGATGGTTATAACCCATTCAGAACTATGAGTGTGTCATATAGTATTTGGCTTGTTGTTTTATCCATTTATAATTTGCCTCCTTGGTTATATAATAAGTCCGAGTACAATATCATTTCTTTGATTGTACCTGGTCCTTCTTCTCCAGGCTATGACATTGATGTTTACTTGCAACCATTAATCGAGGAATTGAAGGAGTTATGGGAAGTAGGAGTTGACACATATGATGCTGTGAAAGATGAAACATTTTCTTTAAAGGCAGCCTTGTTATGGACAATCAGTGACTTCCCTGCTTATGCAATGTTGTCCGGATGGAGCACCAAAGGAGAATTTGCCTGCCCGAATTGCAATCATAAGACTTGGTCCAAATACCTGAAGTATAGCAATAAAATGTGTTACATGGGACATCGTAGCTCTTTGAAAGAAAATCATCCATGGCGTCGTAATAAGAGAGCTTTTGATGGTAATGTAGAGACAAGGCCTCCTCCTCCTGCTAGATTCTCAGGTTCTGAGGTTTTAAAAGATTTAGAAGGGTTTGAAAATAAGTTTGGGAAAACTCAAAAGAAGGGCAGAAAGAAATTTCCTTGGAAGAAGAAATCAATTTTCTTTGAGCTTCCTTATTGGAAAACTAATACCTTGCGTCATAATCTTGATGTTATGCACATTGAGAAAAATATTTGTGACAGTGTGCTCGGTACTTTGCTTGATATCCCGGGAAAGACTAAGGACCATGTGGCAGCCCGCTTTGATTTACAAGAAATGGGTATAAGAAATGAACTCTATCCAAAGAGAACAAATAATAGAGGGAAGCATTTATACTCCAAAGCCTGTTTTTCTTTATCTTCAAGTGAAAAAGACTTCTTCTGCGGTGTGATAAAAGGTGCTAAGTTTCCCGATGTTTGTGCATCAAACATCTCTAGATGTGTCCAATCTAATGAGAGGAAAGTTGCTGGTTACAAGAGCCATGATGCGCACTTTATGCTTCATTATTTGCTCCAAGTTGCTGTAAAGAATACCTTGCCTAAGCAAGTAGCATCGACTTTGATTAGGCTAGGATCCTTTTTTAGGGGTCTATGTAGGAAAGTTCTAAAGCCTAAAGATCTTGACGATCTTGAATCTGAAATCATAGAGATACTTTGCCAACTTGAGAAGATATTCCCCCCCCCCCCAGTTTCTTTGACATAATGGTCCACCTTCCACTTCATCTTGTAGAGGAGGTAAGGCTTGGGGGCCCTGTTCAAAGTCGTTGGATGTATCCGAAAGAGCGGTATTTAGGTAAATTGAAGTCATATCTAAAAAATAGAAGTCGACCCGAAGGTTCCATTGCAGAGGCCTACTTGGCAGAAGAATGCCTTATGTTTTGTTCGAGGTATCTTCACGATGAATTTAGTTCAAAGGTGAATCGAGCACCTAGAAATGATGATGATGATACTGCATCCAATGAAGATGGAAGCCTTTTTCCTAATGTTGGACGTCCTTTAGGTGTAAAAAAGAAAAACAAAGGCAAAAAGATTTCTTTAGATGAAGACACTTTGATGAAAGCTCATCGCTATGTACTCTTTAATTGTGATGAAATAAGTGATTACATAAGGTCAGTAAGTAAATTTAAATTGGTAGTATTTCATATAACTATATTTAATCTTTGTTATTTATAATTGACTAATACAACTAAGTTGCTTTGTGATATGTATGTAGTGAACATCAAGATTTAGTGAATCGTCAAAGAAGTCAAGGTAGACGGGGTAAGCGGAGTAGGTGGGAGAGAGCACAAGAACACAGTCATGATATTGGAGCATTGTTCAAGGACCGTGTACGGGAAGAAAATGTTTCCAAAGAAATCAAGGCGTTATCCCAAGGTCCTGACTATACTGTGAGAAGTTTTAAAGGGTACCTAATAAATGGTAACAAATTTCATACAACTGCACATGAGTCAAAAAGGAAAACTCAATGTAGTGGAGTTAGTGTAACATCTTCAATGTCGAGTTTTGCAAGTTCCAGGGATCAAAATCCTGTTGTTGGGGACGTCAAATATTATGGAGTGGTGGAGGATATCATTGAGTTAGATTATTTTGGACATTTCAAAGTGGTATTGTTTCGCTGTAAATGGTTTCAAGTGGAGCAAGATGAGTTTGGGCTAACATGTGCAAATTTTAAAAGGTTATGCTATACTAATGACCCTTTTATGATGGCTAATCAAGTAAACCAAGTTTTTTATGTGCAAGATTCCAAAGAAAATCATTTACATTACGTTATGGAAAATATCCCCGGAGACTTGTTTGATATGAATGAAGAATCAAATGGTGATGTTGGAGTTTCTTATTGGAATGAATCTTCTAGCGATGGTGTTCACCCAGGGGCAACTGTTGCTGATGACTATGATGTTAGTTGGTTGAGAGAGGACTTGCCTACCACTACTGTTGACGTTCCTGAATACATGTTAGAAATGCAAGCAGAGCCGGAAATTGATGAATCGGATGATGAAATCGAGGATAATACTCTATGGGATTTCATGCAAGCAAGTGAAGATGAAGCTTAGGAAATATGATTGGTCCTTTCTAGTATTCTGTTTTTAGTAACTTTGAAGTAATAAAAGCCTAGGGATTTTAGCTTAAACAGTATTGGTTTTATTTGACTGCAAAATTATTTGTTTTAATGATCAAAAGTTTCGGTTTTTTTTTTGTGGGATTATTTGATAATCTCATTAATAGCATGTAGCCACTAGCCTGGAAAGCTGCAGGCATCTTCCAGCTCTAGCAGCAGGCAGCAGGCAGTGGCTGTTTCAGCTTAGAGCTAGCATTCCTAGCTAGTTCATGTTCTCCTGTTTTTGCTGCTTGCTGTGTTTACTTGGGAGTGGTTTGTTTCTGTTATGCTATTGTCTGCTGTGAGGCTGATTCTGTTGAGCTGTGCAGGTCCTCGTTTCTTTGTTGGTTTGGCTGGCTATGCTTGTAGCTGCTTTCCTGCTCAGCTGTTTGGCTGTTTGCTGCTGCTATTTATGTCCTGTTCTGCTGCAGGTCCTTGTTTCTTTGTTCGTTTGGCTGGCTGTGCTTGTAGCTGGGGCTGTTATTTATTGCTGCAAGTCTGGTTTCTCTTGCTTTCCTGTATTGCTGGGAGCTGCTAGTGGGCTGCAGGTCTGGCTTCTCTTGTTCTCTAGTCTGCTGGGAGCTGCTGTTCTCACTGTTGTGGTTCTTTGTTGCTGGATTGCAGGTTGTCTTCAGGAAGGTTTTTGTTTGTTTAGAGGAGGTCTTGCTGTTGCTTTTAATTGTCTTGTTTGTGTTGTTGTTTGGCTGTTCTGTGGTCTGTCCTGATCCTCGTAAACATTACACATTGGTTTTATACCTTTTCCCATAAGACTCTAATCTTTTACATGTGCAGCTGGTCTATTGAGTGCAGCTTCACCGAACTTCTTCCTTGCTTTGAGTGTGACACCTGGTATACTCCCCTGTGAGGGTACATTGCTGGTAAAATCTAACTTGCTTCCTTGTTTCAATGAATATTGTCTATTTCATTGCGATAAATATAGTTTTCCACTTGTGGAGCTATATTTAAGAGTATCACGGTCAATTTGTTGGCTGGCATCCTGTCAGTTGTTGACCCAACCGGGTTAAATCTGACTAAATCTAACTTGTAAATTTGTAATCTTGATATATGAAAGTCTTTGAAAAGTTAGCCTAAAATTCTTTCCCACAAATTGAGCTTCGCAGACCTAAACCTGACTGAGAAAAAAGACCAAATGTGAATATCATTTCAAAAGCCCGATAAATTATGATGCGTATAAACACTTCAAATCCAGAAATCTACAATGATAGACCCAAACCCAACTCTGCTGATATGTTTGACACATGCTGCTTCATTGTCGCTTTGTGTTTAATTTTTGTAGCTATTGATATGATGATCAAGTAACAAATTAAGAATTTGAGATGTTTCACTTTTTATCATGTGAAGGCTAGCAGGGATCTCAAATTCATTAGTACATCAATGAGTGGATGTTTTGCTTTAGGCGCAATTGTATTACTGGTATTCTGCTGATCTTCCTTAGTATTACAAATATCTTACAATTATAAAATTTGTTATCCTCTTCTCCTCGGGTGAAATTGATGCATATCCCTGCCTTTGTTCATAATCTGACAGCTCGTAAGAAGTCAAGGATTAGGCTTATTAGGCTGTTGGAGTGTCCTTGTTGGATTTCAATGGGTACCTTTCCTTTCTCAAGTTTGTTATGGAGTAACTCATATTTGTTCAGAGCAAGTCATTAGGCATCTTCTGATCAATTTTCTCTCATACAATACACAGGCACGCTTCTTGATTTCTCTTAGACGCCTTCTTTCTGCTAGTGGCGTACTATTCTCAGAGGATCTTGATTGTTTGAGATTAGCCGAGCTAAAAGTTGCTTAGGTAAGGATTCAATAAACACCTTCAGCAAATTCTTTTCATTGGTTAAATTCTTAAACTACCTTCAGCAAATTCGAGTAAGATGAATTTGGTGCTTTAAGGTTTGTACAATCATAAAAACTATTACTAACATTAGTTTTTTTATTCCATACTGTTTGCAAGAATTGCAAATGTATCCTCTGATATTCTAACAGACTAATATTTGTGTCAGAGATAGGAGTATACATATAGCTTAAACATGCAGTTGATATATTAGATTGCATTGTTATATATGGTGCTGTCAAGACCTTCAGGCACTGTTGGACATTCTGCACCATTGTTGTCAAGAAGTACAGTAATGGTGTGGTTTGGTGTTGCTATCTTTGGAGAATTATGTATTTCTAGTATTTGACACTTAGAGACTTTATGTAATTTTATGAGTTATTTGTTAATTTTACCAGGTTTGTATTTTTGGTGTTTGAGAATTGGGACTTTATAGAATTTATGTAGTTTTGTGATTGATAATTTGAGATTTTATGTATTTATTAAATTATGTAACAGGTCTAAAAATCACAAAACAGGTCCATATGTAGGTCCAATAGGTTATGTATTAAAAAACGAAAAAAATACAAAACAGGTCTGTTCAGGTCCAAACCCGGACTGGACCTGAGGTCTGATCCGGAACCGGACCTGTTGAATCAGGTCTGGTCTCCGGTCCTCAAAATCCCCTGATTTAGGTCCTGGTCCCAACAGAATCGGTCCAGGTCCGGTCCGGTTTAGGACCGGTGTACACCCCTAGCTACACGAGGTTAGTTAACGAGGTGAGGTTAGTTAATGGTTTCTGGCTGCTGTCCTGTTCCTGTGTACTCTGGAGGTCCTGTAGCATTGCTCTGATGAAGATTCTGCTCCAGTCTCTGTTCTGGTTTGTTTGGATATTGCTGATGTGTGCGGGATGCTGGGAGCTGGTCTTTTAGTTTTTGTTATTGATCTGCTGTCTTCTAGCTTTGCTGAGTTCAGGTCTGCTAGGGTCTGGTCTGCTGGTGTTCTGGTTCCTGGTGTCGGGTTGTTGTGTTGTTCCTGGCTACTGGGCTCTGTTTGCAGTTCCTGAGCAGTTCCTGTGCTGTTTTTTGGTTGCTGTAGCTTTTGGTTAGCTGTTTTTTCTTGGCCTGCTCTTCTGGCTGCTGCTGTTTTTGTCTTGATGGGCTAGGTGCTGCTGTTGTTTTTCCTACGGTTTGCATGGTGCTTTTGTTGAGCTTTTTTGGTTGTGTGTGTGTGTTTTTTTTTTTTTTTATTATTGGTTGTCCTGGTCCTTGTTCTCAGTTCCCTTCCTAGAAGGTGCCTGTTTACCTGAGTTCAGTGTGTTTTTTTCCCTCTCGGTTTTCAGGTTCCCTTCCTTGAAGGTGGCCGGTTTACAGTTTGGGGTTGTTTCGGTGTTGGTCTGCCTTCGGGGCTTGTGTAGTTAGGGAGTTACAATTTTGCGTTTTTGTAAAGTTGTATTCTTTATTCTTTGGAAATAATATTTCTTATTTACCAAAAAAAAAAAAAAAAAAAAAAAAGAAAAAAGCTAGAGAAGGGAAGTGAGGACGAGGATATGGGTTTCTCACTCTTTGACTTGCATTTTTATTAGTATGTCAATATGTTATGATGTGTTCCAAAACAATATAATTTTGTTTAGATGTTTGGTAATTAGTATACTGGATGAACTTCTTTGTTATGAGTTTTGTCAGGAACATGCAGTTTTTAGCATATTTTTTAATTGTATTGTCTGAATTCTTTTGATGATTATATATCATATTATCTTATATAATCTTTTTTTTTGGAATATAAACATAAATTGTATAAGATTTTGTACTTTTACCTATGTATAAATGAGTATAATTATTTCTTAGTTTCATCGACATACTATAGTTATTATTACATACATAATATAATGTATCTTGAATTCTCTTTCTAAATTAAATGTCTTGATTTTTTTTAACAATACCAATATTATACTAAAATAAAATATTATAACAAAATTGTAAAAAAGATATACATGATTCTTGATCTGAATATCCGTATGTAGTAATAATTTTATGAATACAGATTTACAGCTTACATATTACTTCATTAAAGAATGATATGATTTTGTTACATATTTGTGTCGTTAAGTTAACAAAACTATACTCTCTCTATATTTTAATACTTGCTTTACTTTTCTTTTGTTGCCGTATTTTGTTACTTGCTCATTTCTTTTTTGAAAACCTTACACAATATTTTACTAATTTCTTCTAAAACTCCGCGCATGGAGAAATGAGAAAGTAATAAAATACGGAGGGAGTAAGTAAAAGTGTTACAACTATTGGCTTCCATAAAGCAATGAAAACACATATAACAATCGTTGCCTTACATACCTTGAAAAAACGTTTCTAAACTTGTTGCATAGATAACAATTTTATTGTTGTTATCTTTTTGGATAACATGTGAAATAAATGTTGCCTTATGTTAAAAAAAGGCTACATTTTATAATACTGTTGTCTTACATACACTAAAGCAACACTTTTTAAACTGTTACATTGTATTGTGGTATAGATTGTTCAAGATCAAGGTAACAAACAAGTATTGTTGCCTTTTCCTGCAAAAGACAACATTTGTCATTTTGTTGCAATATTATGTGTTGCCTATTGTCATTTTTTTGTAGTGAATTTAACACACTATACAAACTAACAACCCTAACATAGGGATTTAAATAATCAACAATAAAATCATTGGGCTTAAACAATTAAGTTATTATAACAATTAAAAAATTCACAAAAAAACAATTAAAAATTGGTATACCAATAATTATCAATTATAAAATTGGGATTTAAACAATTAAAAATTAAAAACTAGGGTTTAGAGGAATGATTAAAAATTAAGGCTTACTTGTTTAATGTAAATTGGGGAAAAGTACTTGATTGTCGCCGGAAAGATGTGAAAATTGATCGCCGGAAAGTTGTGAAAGTTGAAAACAGTTGATTTTTGTGTGACGTCACTCACGTCACACACGTCACAATTGGATTGTGGGCTTGAATATTGGACAAAAGTACAAACTTGCAGACTTTTTATTTTGACAACAAGTTGCTTGCAGACTTTAGGTAAGTTGTGTTTGTTTATTTATTCTTTAGTTGCTTTTGTTGTTTCTTTTACCTTTTGTCTTTTGCCTTTTGATTTCTTTTTTTTTTATAATAAAAGCTGATTTTTTTTTCACGAAAGGGAGGATAGCTGTCCCCCATTGTCCCCCCTTCCCTCAGCCACTGACACTAATACTCACTATTACACATTATTATTAAATCAAATTAAATGGATTGTAGCCTCTCGTGCAATTTTGTGAGCCCGATGAACCCGATGTCTATCCGCCTTGCTTGTATATACTATAATGGTGAAAAGTCAACCTATGTAGTAGTTTAATTAGCTGCACCAACCATAGATAATTGATGTCCCCGCGCCCGTCACCCCTTAGGAGAGTAACCAAATTATAAGAATTGATAAGCAATATAGGTGAGTGGATGTTTAGAATTTGAAGCCCATTGTAAGCTGTACAGACACGCCAAAGCTTCTTCGTGTACAGATGAAGTACATAATCCATAACTGCTCCCACCAACCCATTACTGCTCCCTTCTTGTGTCTTTGAACCACGAACCATCAATATGTGTCTTCACCAAGTCTAGGCTTGTAAGAGTTATCCTTAAATGTGCCACATAAAACCCAGGCGTGGATAAATTAAACAAGCATTTAAAATAGGAGAGTGAGCACTATCAAGTGTTGCCTCCTTATCCAAGAAAATAGTATGAGTTTTCAAGATATCAATAATTTCCAATCCCATTGGTTTAGTAATAGGTGAATAAAGGGAGAAGACCCTATTATTCCTACATAACCAAAGCCCCCAAAGAATACTAATGAATGTGCTAATCTTGGAACTCGAAATCCCATCCAAACTAATAAAAAGTCGGATATAATATTAGATCCAATCTGAGAGAGAAAGGTCTCCATGTAATAAGAGTGGATGCCCAAACTACCACCATTCCATGTTGTTCTAGCAATATTGCAATTCCTAGATAGATGGTTAAAATCTTCCATCTGCGTACCACACAAATCACAGGACACATCTTGTATCGCAACACCTCGGTGGTGAAGTTCACTCTTTGCTGCTAAACCATTATTAAGTAACTTCCATAAGAACATCTTCCACTTTGGCTGTATTTGAAGGGACTAAAGAGTTTTCCAAAATCTATTCATTTTTTGAGGAGGATTGACTAAATATATTCTAGAAAGAGTACGTGCAGGGATTTAGGTACTATATTGCAGAATTTCAAGAATCATATTCGTTCGCACCTAATCAGGATCTACAAGCATAACACATAAATAATCACATAATTCATACCTTTGACACGTGATTTCCACGAATGACTGAAATGAAGGGAGAATAAGTTCCCCAAGTGTTTCTCCTCTACTCAGTCCACAGGCTAGGATTGAACCTCCACTATTGCTAGATAGTCGGGAATGAACACTTTGAACCATCTTCCACGGAGAGGGGAGGAGAAAACCAGCCACGAACACCACAACTGTGCACCACCTTGCATCGTGCGGCCGTACGACTGTACGAATGTGAGAAAGGGAGAGAGGAGAGAAAGATTGCGTGAGGCTAGGGTTTAGTTGCTTGCTTGTCAATTCTCAATTGACTGCTAATTGTTTTGTATATCAAACCCTAGCCAAGGCCTCTATTTATACATCACATGTATACTTAGAGTCCAAACCAAGCCCAAACTTCTACCTCTTTAAACCCTATGGTTGGCCACCTCTTAAGAGGCCCAATGATGGGCCTCTTTCTTTGTTAAATCCATCACCCTTTTGTGTGACCTTGTAGGATCCATTCTATTGGGCTTTGGACTATTTGACTAGCCTAAAGATCATTGATCATGTCTAGTAACAGATAATGACTACCCAAAAGAATGAACTTATTATCTCCATAATATTAATC